TTTTTTTTTTGTTTGTTTGTATATTTTGGACTGTCTTAGTAATTTTGGCGATCTTTCATTCGTGCAGGCGTTTGTGGATTTCTTCTCTCGTGGCCTTCAGGAGGAGTACAGACGTCAGGGGATCCTCATCCAGGTAAGTAGAGTCTGAGAAACATGACAATCATTGAAGCCTGCATATGAGTCTATGATCTATGAGAGACTAACTAGGAGCTTTCATTATTTGTCAGCGTGTGTGCACATTAACTTTTAAAAATGTTGTACAAAATCATGTAAAGGTCATTAAAAGCTTTTCTGAACTTCACTCTTTTGGACACAAAGTAAAGACTGGAGTGGCTGTTAGACCAAAGTCAGTCAGCCCTATTCTTGAAACAGAATCTTGCACGTTTTGGAAATCTTAATGCACTTAGGTTTTTAATAACAAAGTTAAACATCTTTTTTCAAAGAGTCTTCATTGAAGGAGTAATGAAATGAACACACAGAAGTGTTCTGCTTTTAATGAGAAGCATTTTTTTTTTTTTTGTTAAACCTGATGTTCCACATAAAGCTGGTTTGTTCTGTTTTTAGAACTCTGTAGTCTTCACTCATGTGCCACCTTGTGGTTGGACCAGGTATAGGAGTTTAAGTATAACACAAAGTTCAGGGTCTGCCTTTTGTTTTTTCCTTGCATTCCAAATCATCACTTTACAGCAAAGATTTTGTCTTTTGGGTTAAAGAGCATGTTACATATTAAATATGGCTTACCCGAAGTTAGTTTAGCTTTCGTGATTGAAACAGTCTGCTGGGAGTGCTTTGCATATTTTCTAAGCTTGCTGCATCTTTTTTTTTTTTCTTGTTCCTGCAGAGCGTGCTCCCCTTCTTTGTGGTCACTAAAATGACTCGTATCAAGAAACCCACCTTGGACAAGCCCACCCCAGAGCGCTATGTAGCAGCTGAGCTCACCACTGTGGGTCTGCAAAGCCAGACCAATGGCTACTTCCCTCATGCTGTCATGGTAAGAGATGGCAACCTCAACAAAATTAGTAATGTTGATAGATGTGCAAAATGTTGGGGCCCAAATGAATAATTCTTATTGAAAAGCTTGAATGCTGAACACATTTTAAAGTTGCAGTTTAAATTCATTTTAATTGTGAATCCAGGGCTGGGTGACCACCAAGCTGGTTCCAACCAGCATTGTTATCTTCCTGGGAGCCACAATGAACCGCCTGCAGCGTACGGGATACCTGCAGAGGAGGAAACTGCGAGAGCAGAAGAACGGACAGAGTTTGAAAACTGAATAGGACTGTGGCTGATGACGCTGCCAGCAGCCACATTGTTGTGACCCACTGCAGCATTTAAGGAAGAGGGGAATGTGTATGATTTATCCGCCAGGGTTGCCTGAGATTTCACCTTTTGTGCCTACAGTAAATTTGCACATCAGGGCACGTGTGGCTCTGACTAAAACTGCAACCTTCTATCCTTATATTTATCTGGGCAGACATGACCAAAGAAGCTTGGAAGTGAAATGAGGATAAAATGCTGCTTTTGGAAAAGGACATTGATATTAGTCACTGACACTGATGGTGGAAATGATACAGCCAAAAACAGAGGGATTTGTTAACCCTGCTGTTGTAAGCAGTGGAAAATGGTGGTGGGCATCTTTTTATATACATTTATAGGCTACACCAATCAGCCACAACATTAAAACGACTTGCTGAAAATTGATTAGGTATATCTTGTGCTGTTAAAACTGCTCCAGACTGTCTGCATGGACATGGGACCACTGAATTGTTTGCAGCAGATTATTTGGTGCTGTGGGTTGAGGACTGGTGCGTCTGTGTCAGTCTTTCTGGCATAAACCACGAATGCTCATTCAGATAAGGATCTGGGGAATTTGAAGGCTGAGTCTATATCCTGGACTCTGCTGTATTCCTTGAACTTTTCCTGAGCAGGTTTATGTATTATGGCAGGACGCACAGTCTTGCTTTAGGGGCCTTAGGGGTATGCTCGGTCTGCATAAATGTTTAAAATTTATATTGTGGAAAAATAATCAAATTTATTCACCTTACTTGGTGGTTTAAATGTTGTGGCTGAACGGTATTTATGATCTATTTATTTTATATTTGTATGAACACAGAAGCCAAACTCTGACTTTAAAAAAAACAACAAATTTTTAACTTGGTTCTATTTACAAATCATTGAGCTGTTAAATGATGGCAGTGCCTGCTTTCTGTTGTGCCAGTTTATTTGCACCACTGAGCTCATCTTATGTTGCCTCCTTTTCTTTCTTTCTTTTTTTTTTTTCTGATTGAATGTTTAAAATGACACTTTGTGGTGGGTTTTTAATTGCATCAGTGTAATATTTGTTGTAAGCCAAAGCATCTGATGGTTAAGTGCCTTTCTTCTAGCATTAATGATGGAAATGGTCTGATTTTGTGAACGGGTGCTTAATGGTTCCATTTATTATGAAAGGATGTTAACTGGTGCTACGTCCAAAGGAACTACTGAATTGTTCTTTTTCTTACTACTCAGTTTTTTGTTGTTGTTTTTTTTTTT